GTGGGCTGACCGGGAATGGAGCCTTGACCTCCTGGTTCATGGGTCCACCGTTAACCGCTGAGCCATGCCAGCCGGCCCCATCAGCTTCAGTGAAGGGTAGGAGGGAGGAGCGGGAAGCCCAGAAGGTGGGGCCGTGACATGAACTGGGGTGCGGCCACAGGTGCTGCTTCCACTGCCTCCTGGGAGTCTGCGCTGTAGGAAGGTGAGAAGCCGGGAAAAGACAGGCAAGGCGGGGTCCCCTGTGGGTGCGCCCAGGTGAGGGTGCGTTCAGGTGGGGGTGCGCCCAGGTGGGGGTGCGCCCAGGTGGGGGTGCGCCCAGGTGAGGGTGCGCCCAGGTGAGGGAGAACCCAGGTGAGGGAGAGCCCAGGTGAGGGTGTGCCCAGGTGAGGGTGTGTCCAGGTGGGGGTGCGCCCAGGTGGTGGAGCGCCCAGGTGAGGGGTGTCCCTAGGTGGGGAAGTGCCCCGGTGAGGGCCCAGCAGGTCAGATGCTCTCCTTCACGCTGTGTCCCTCCTCCGGCCTGCAGCTCCGCTCAGACACAGAGCAGCCGCATGGGTGCTGGCTTTGAGGTCAGAATGTAGGGCGCCCCTTTCCCGGGGGCAGAAGGCCATATGCTGGCGTTTATTCTGGACGTCGTTTGGAGGAAACTGGCGGCTGTTAGCGGGCTGTTCCCGCCTGCCTTCCCTTCCCTGAAGCTGGTGGGGCCAGCTGGGGTGGCTCAGTGTGGACCCATGGACCAGGAGGTCAGGGCCCCATTCCAGGCCAGGGCACAGGCCCCCGTGGTGTGCTACGGCACGTGGCAGTCCATGGAGGAGGGGCAGGGAGGCGCCCACATGGCCAGGGGCTGGCCAGCTGTCTGAGCAGCAGGGAACATGGGAAGCCCCGTGCCCCGTGCGCCCGCAGGAGGAGGGGCGGCTGCAGTGACGGTCAGATGAGGCCAATCCCGGCTCGCTGACCTCACAGACTCAGGGGTGAGTCCTGGCTCTGCGTGTGGAAGGCACGTTGTGGAGCGGTTTGTGCATCTTTCTGAGCCTCAGTCTTCTCACCTGCAAAATGGTGGAGTAACTGCACCGACATGCAGGGTCGATGGTGGAGGTAAAGGAGCTCACAGACGCCAAGCCGATTCCCGGGGTCAGTTCACAGATCTCCCCACTGCTGTCGCCTTTTGAGATGCGCAGTGAGGCGGGTGCTGATCCACCCGGTACCTGCACGGCAGCTACCTGCCCAGCACTGAGATCTGTTCTGTCCGTGTAGAAGTGTCCGTGTCATTAAGAAGCACTGCTTCACAAAAAGCCCCTCTTAGGTCCTGGGGGCCAGAGGCTGCCCGCAGAGAGCTGTCCCAGAACACAGTCCCGGGCTGTGCCAGGGGATCAGGAGACGGGGGACATCCAGGCCCCCCTGAGGCTGCTGGGGGATGGAGAAGCTGGCAAGGGAACATGGGGACAGGCAGGGAGAGGAAGGAAGGGCTGGGAGGGGCTACTGGCAACAGGACAGTGACTCTCATCATTCCCACACTCAGTCTCACAGATGGAGCTAGCCCAGCAGCAACCCCGCCCAGCTGGCCTCCCCACCCACCTGGCCTCCCCGCCCAGCTGGCCTCCCCGTCCACCTGGCCTCCCTGCCCACCTGGCCTCCCAGTCCTCATGGCTTCCCTGCCCACAGGCTTTTACTTGTGAAAAACCCCGTTATGACTGGAGTGAGTGGCGCAGAGAAGGGGCGAGGGCAGGCAGTGATGGGAAGCGGCCTGGGCCCGGTTGGCACCGGGCTGGGCACACCAGCTCCTGCGATGGCCCTGCAGTCCGGAGGTAAGGCAGGGACCCTCGCATCTAAGGCACAGCAAGCTGGCGCATGACATCATCCCCCACATTTAGCCTCCTTGCCGTCGCCATGGCAACCCTCCCCTACAACATAGCTGAGTTGGTAATTTCACTCCCAATTAAATGAAAATAGGGCTAATCCTATTATTGGTCTTAACACTTTCCCAAGTAGCTTCTTCGCGGAGTGCCCTTGCCTGGATGTCCTGTCTGTTTAAAAATAGATTCCTGGGAAACTGTGTGTGTGTGTGTGTGTGTGTGTGTGTGTGTGTGCGCGGGCCTCGGCCACCGGAGGCCGCAGCCTCCCCCGCAGTGACAGCCGCCCGGCCGGCGGGGGCCGGGCACAGCCTCCCACGCTGCCACCCGGTGCTCCTGGGCACGTGGGCGACACACCTGTCAGAGCCCGTCACGCTAAGGTCATGGAGAAACATGGTTAGAGAGAAGCCGTGCCGTCCATTCGTGTCCATCTGAAAAGGGCACCTCCAGGGATTCCGTGTCCGTGGTACATGTGCTCACGCACACGTCGAGTGACTACGGGACAGCGCCTCCTTGTCGCCTCCACTGAGGTCACCGGAAGGTGGGACTCCGTTAGCACATGGCTCCGGAGCCACCCTTCCAGCCAGCATGTCCCCCAGAGGCCTGTCTTCCCCGCCCGCCCGCAATGCGGCACAGGAGGGCAGTGGGGGGGGGAATTCCCTCTGGCTGGCACCGCCCGGAGGGGTCACGGGGCTGCAGGAGGCAGCGAAGCCCTGAGAACCAGCAGAGGGACTTCCTGACTGCCTGCCCCCACGGGGCTGTCCTGCCAGGGGGTGCGGCGGGAGGGGGAAGACGGTGGATTTGGAGTCAGAGGCCTTGAGGTGAAGCTTTGGCTCCGTCCTCTGCTCTCTTGGCTTCCTCACGGGCAACTACCCACCCGGCTTTGGTGCCAGACCAAGGGCACCATGGAAATCATGCCACAAATATGTACATATACTCAGTGGCTGAGCGCTCACCTATGAACCTGTGGGTCAAGGTTCCATTCCCGGTCAGGGCACATGGCCAGGATATGAACACAAAACTCTCTCTGATGGTGGCTGTGGAGCGAACACACCACCCATTCCCCTCCCTCCCCAGCTGGACATGTGCCCAGCAAGGGGGCCGCCCAGTGCCGTCACCCTGAGAGAGGCCTTCTCCCCACCAACCACGCCGCTGAGGACCAGGCACCTGTGCTGTGCGTCTCACAATGAACCCGGACCGAGTGCTGTTACAGCCGAGAGCGCGCGGCATCACAGAGTCTCCAGGGACTGACGGAGAGCGGGCACGGGCCTGGCTGAGGGACTCATTTACACGGTCACGCGGGACGCCCTTTGCTGAGTAGACGGTTGGGTGGTTTGCCCAAGGTCAGGAGGTGTGTTTGCGGCAGCACCTGGGGGATTATCTCGAACGGACATTCGGTTCTCAGCTCAGAATCTGCTGACTGATGGAGGCACAGGGAGGCCCATGATAGTATCAGCACGCTCTGAGGGTTCATGTTCACGTCGTATCATGAAATCGATAGACCGGCCAGCTGGCTCCGTCTCCACTGCTCCTCAGGATTCAGAGGACGCGAAGCGAAGACAGCAGAGGCCGTGGTCATTTCCCCTCACTGAAGGGACACTGAACATATGCACAGCAAAGCCAACACGAGGCGATAATGTGCCCGTGAACGGGAACCCTCTGCTCTGAGCCCCGAGTCTCAGGAAAGAAAGAGAAATTGAATTCCGATAATTGGTTTAAACGGGCGGCTAATGGATGACATGCTTTAGGTTTGCTGCCTTTGTCCTCGAGGCTTCGTATGGAAATGCACATTTAAATGCACAGAAATATCCGCACCGCTCACTGCACGCTCTCCGCCCGCGCCCACAACGCCCACCTCCCCTGTGCTCTGCCAGGATCGGAATGTGCGTGTATCTGAGTTAGCTCTCACTTCAGCATCTGAGCTAGGCTTCCGGCGCCGTTGTTAGAAAGCGAAGGAATTAAATAATGAGAACAAAGGAAGCGGTTCAACCTACAAAGGACTTAAAGGAGCCGCACCGCAGGCCTTCCAGCATCCGTCCTCCACATTCTCCCTTCCCGACGCACTCAGAGACCCGCGGCCCTTTCCTGTAACCACACCGTGAACCTGCATCGGGGCTGTCGGCTGGGTGCAGTGACTCCTCGGTCAGCGCACCAGGCACCAGGGCCCGACCGTGCCATGCTGGATCCACATACACAGTTTCCTGTGACCCCCGCTGTGGTCACATGACTTGGCGCAGCATCTCCAGGGAGGAGTGCAGTGTGCATCCTGCAATCGTGCACCTGCAGCCAGTGGCCAGGGACAGGGCATGGTCACAGTCTAAAAATATCTGATCGATTTGCATCAGCTCTGGATCAAGTCCCAAACTTACCTCGCTCGGCTGTCTTCTGTGTGTCTTTCTGAGAGTCCAGAATGAGGGCCCAGAGCACAGACTCCCAGTCCCCGATGCCACCACATTAGAAAGACATCGTAGAGACTTTGGAATCAGCCGTGACATAGATGACATCTTAGTAGCACACAGAGCAAGGCAGAGAAAGAACTCTCGTGCTCTCCCACGACTGCCAATGACCTCTAACCACCTCCAGTGACCTCCAATGACCTCCAACGACCTCTAATGACCTCCAATGACCTCTAATCACTTCCAGTGACCCCCCAATGACCTCCAACCACCCCCAATGACCTCCAACCACATTCATGACTTCCAACTACCACCAATGACCTTCAACCACTTCCAGTGACCTCCAATGACCTCCAACCTCCTTCATGACTTCCAACCACTGCCAATGACTTCCAATTACCTCCAATGAGCTCCGACCACTGCCAAGCCAATGATCTCCAACACCTCCAATGACCTCCAACCATGTCCATGACTTCCAGCTACCTCCAATGACCTCTAATCACCTCCATGACCTACAACCACCTCCAATGACCTCCAACCACCTCCAACCACCTTCATGACTTCCAACCACGTTCATGGCTTCTAACCACCGCCAATGACCTTCCACCACCTCCAGCGACCTCCACTGACCTCCTTCCATCCACCACCTCCATGACCTCTAATCACTTCCAGCGACCTCCCACAACTCTAATGGCCGCCCGCACAGCACCGCTGAAGGAAGCCGGAGCGGCGATGGGACGGCCCCTCCCTCACTCACCACACAGACGGCGCCTCCGTGCCGCTGATCTCCAGGAAGTCGTAGCCCTCCTCCAGCTGGAAGTCGGTGAAGACCAGCGCGATGGTGTCCCCGGGCTCGGCCAGCACGGTCCACGTGCAGTCAGCGTTGTTCTCGTACTCAGATGGGAAGTGGGGGCTGGAGATGCTGCTGCTGGTGCCCCGGAGGGTCCCCCCGCAGGCTCCCTCGGCTGCAGGGACAGAGGAGGGGAGAGCCGTTCAGGGGGGGCTGGGGCACAAGAGCGCCTGCAGTGCCACGGGAAGGGACAGGGTCTGGGTCGCATCGCGTCACCAAGGATCCACCCTCCTCAGAGAGGGAGCCGTCGGCTGAGACCCGGGCTGCCGCCGGCCACGGTCACAGGCCGGTGGACAGCGGTTCCCAGGATGCTCTCGGGTCCCGAAGGACCGAGATAAGCGGGCATTTCAGACCCAAGTGCTCCTGCCATTGTCCTTCGCGCTTGGACGCTGGGCTTGTGGAGGCCGAGCTCTGATGGAGGCGCCCCCACCTCTCCCTCCCAGGGCGCCGGAAGGTGTGTGCGGGTTTGAAGTTCAGAGAAGCTGACGCCACAAGAGGGCATCACACAGACGTGGACACATCAGACGTTTCCGAGGAGGAAGCAGCTGCGTGGAAGGTGAAATTGGGAACACCTTGGGGAAATGCCAAGTAACGTCAATAAAGATGAGCACATAGAAGATGGAAGTGATATGGTGCCAAGTGATGGAGGAAGGAAAGAAGGGAGGGAGGGAGGGATAAAAGGGAAAGAGGAGGGGCAGAAGGAGGGAGGGAGAGAAGAAGGGCGGTAGGGAGGTAGGGAGGAGGGAGAAGGGAGGAGGGAGAAGGGAGGATGGGAGGGAAGGAGGGAGGAAGGGAGGGAGGAGGGAGAAAGGGAGGGAGGGAGGGAGGGAGGAGGGAGAAGGGAGGAGGGAGACTGGAGGATGGGAAGGAAGGAGGGAGGAAGGGAGGAAAGAGGGAGGAGGGAGAAAGAGAGAGAGGGAGGGAAGGAAGCCGGAGGGAGGGAGGGAGGGAGGGAGGGAGAGAGGGAGGAGGGGAGGGAGGAGGGAGGAGGGAAAAAGAGAGGGATGGAGGGAAGGAGGGAAGAAGGGAGAAGGGAGGAAGAGAGGGAGGGAGGGAGGAAGGGAGGGAGGAGGGAGGAGGGAGAAAGAGAGGGAGGGAGGAGGGAAGAAGGGAGGGAGGGAGGAAGGGAAGGGAAGGAAGAGGGAGAAGGAGGGAGAAGGGAGGAGGGAGGGAGAAGGAAACAGGTTTCCCACCCCTGATCTAAAGGCTCGGAGGATCGGGGAGTTCATTACTGTGCCAACGTCCAGGGAGCATGTGCCATGGAGACACGCGGGTCCCGGGGAATTCTGGCAGATTCATTGCCCAGGACCCGGCTCTCCTCCCTGCACACGGGCCCAGGGAGACCGCTGACCTCGAGAAGGGTGAGCAGGCAGTGCCTTCCCGGCTCCCGCTGGCTGACCCAGAGCCTGTGGGAATGGAGGCCTGAGCCAGACTGACATGCCAGCACGCCTCTTCCTCCGCGCTGAGGTTAATAATTTATCAGGCATTTGGCTTATGTAAATGTATTAAGACAGAGAGACACGTACATGGCGTTTTCCCTTAAATAACCTGCTTGTGCTCAATAACTTAATTAAAGGGACGGGAGCTACTGCGGCAGCCTTTGGAAATGGTTCCATTTTTGACAGACATCACACCATTTTTCCATGAAGAAGCAGCCCCGGTAAAAGAAGTTCATTAGGAAACAACTATTAATATTACATCTTCTAATTTAAAATAATTTTATCTCTTTAGAAAAACCTAAGAATCAGCATAGCTATAATAGATTCATTGTGGTTGTTTTGTTTGATTTCCTCTCATCCCGTTCGGATGGAAAGTAATATATGTGACTCTTTTATAAGACAAACTAGAGGCCTGACGCACAAAATCTGCGCAGGAGAAGGCCTCTGCAGCTGCGCACTTCATCCAGATGGGCGTTCTGCTGTTTGGCTGTTCGGTTGACTTGCATATTAAGCTTTTATTATTGTAGATTATATTTTGAAATTCATGACTTTATAGTTTCTGAGATGTGTTTTCACCACCCTGGCTTCACTCATTTTATAAAAACGAATAATACAAAAATATAGTAACATGTTTTTATTAAACATTTTATTCCAATTAGTCATAAATCTTGTACTAAAAACAAATGCTCTACTAAAAAGACACATATAAGCTTTTGAAAATGGGAGCTCATTTGCCAGAAGTAGGAAAATCAGAGCCACAGACCTTCGGGAATTATTCCTTACACTGTTTACACACACACACACACACACACACACACTCACACACACACAAAACGTGTGCACACATAAGCACACAACACACCACACGGGCACCTAAAACTAACAGATATTCTTGCTTTCATCCTTCCTCTATACCAGTGGCCGGCAAACTCCTTAGTCCACAGAGCCAAATACCAACAGCACAACGATTGAAATTTCTTTGGAGAGCCAAATTTTTTAAACTTAAACTTCTCCTACTGCCACTTCTTCAGAATAGACTCGCCCAGGCCGTGGTATTTTGTGGAAGAGCCACACTCAAGGGGCCAAAGAGCAGCATGTGGCTCACGAGCCATAGTTTGCCGACCACGGCTCTATACTTTGTCCACCTACGTCAGCAGCACGGATTCTTTTAAAATTGAACAATTTCCTGCCCCAACCTGTTCAACTTCCCATGTCACCCTGAGCCTGAAGGCAGAGGTGGCCACGCCCTGAGACATGGGCTGTGTGTGGACCCTGCCAGAGTCCCCAGTCCCCCGCCCCCCACCTCACTCTGTCCCCTCTCCCCCGTCCCCTGCGCTGTGGGGCCCCCTGCCTCCAGGACCAGCACCAGTATGTTCCTGCCCAGGGCCTTGCCCTCACCATGCCGCCCATGCCCTGCCTGCTGCCCGTGGTGTCTGCGTGAGCCGTCCTTCTGGGCCGCCTGCTGGCCTCCGTGGACACACAGGCACTGCTGTCCATCACCGCCCCTTACGTGGCTCAGTGGACACACAGGCACTGCTGTCCATCACCGCCCCTTACGTGGCTCAGTGGACACACAGGCACTGCTGTCCATCACCGCCCCTCGCGTGGCTCCGTGGACACACAGGCACGGCTGTCCATCACGCCCCTCGCGTGGCTCCGTGGACACACAGGCATGGCTGCCCATCATGCCCCTCACATGGCTCCGTGGACACACAGGCACGGCTGTCCATCACGCCCCTCACGTGGCTCTGCTCCTTGGCAGTTCCTGACGTGCAGGTCCCCGGCCTTGCACGTGGGCCCTCCACCCAGGGCGCAGCAGGGCCCAGCACCTTTCCTCCTGCCTTGCTTTCCCCTCTGGGCGGGTGCCTGCAGCGTTCCCGCAGTTCCATTGCCTGCAGCAAGCCTCCATCCTGCCCCCTTCATGTTCAAAGTGGGCTTTCAACAAAACGCCCTTCTGGGCCTGTGTGTGGATTCAAACTGCACCATTGCTGAGGGAAGACGTCAGAAAGTGAGGTGACAGAGTCATGGAAATGCAGAGGCACCTTCACATGCAAGGTTTAAAAAGAATGTTCTAGAAAAACTGCAGCATGACGTGAAGCAATATGTCAGACACAAGCTAATTGTGGAGAACGAAGTCGGGTCCCTATAGCAATCCCCAGGGGTTCGAGGGCCCCTGCATGTGGCTTTGTTTGTTCCAACAAGTAGCTGAGCTGCCACCTGGGAATGTTCCTTTGTACTCAGCAGAGCAGCAGGGAAATTTCTAGAAGAGATAAAGTCAGGCAGGCAGAGAGAGCAAAGTGATCAAGGAAAACATTAAGAAAATGAGATTATGAGCCAGCTTCCTGGCACCCGGAAGGATGATTATTATATTTTAAATATATTTTCATTGATTTCAGAGAGGAAGGGAGATGAAAAAATCAATGAGGAGAGAGAATCGTGGACCGGCTGCCTCCTGCACGCCCGCCCCCCACTGGGGATGGAGCCCACAATCCGGGCCATGTGCCCTGGCAACCCAAGGGCAGAATGACCTGTCAACCAGTCACTGTGACACACACTGACCACCAGGGGGCAGACACTCAACATAGGAGCTGCCCCTGGACGGTGGCCCGCGAGGCTGACAGGGATGAGCTGTGCTCCCACGGGAGCAGGCAGATCCCACAGCCACGCCCCCACCAGTGCACGAATCCACGCACGGGGCTCCAGTAATACCATGACATAGCCCACCCGTGTTAATAAACAACTAAAATGCATCAGGACCATTGCTTTTATGTGAATTTTGCTGTATCCAGAGTAATGTTTTCATTTGAAAGCTGGAGAATTGGGGGAGGGGTAATGAATGCTATGTAGAATCTCTCCCCGCCCCTATATTTTTTACACATTATGTGGAAAGACAGTGAAGTCAGGTCAGGCCGCCGTGCACCCATGAGAATCAGCACACAACAAACATTTTTCAACAAAATAATGAAGGTTTGTACGGAGTCCCTGCGGCGTTTTAAAACAATGGTGCCCCTCGGACTCCTGAGGGGAGAGGTGGAAGGTTGCCAAGTGGGTGGGCTTTGGCTCCGACACCCGATTTCCCTCAGAGCAATCATTTCTTTAACTCGGTTTCCTATCCCGAGTTTTCACGGAATCTTGCACTCGGAAAAAAAGGTCCTCCAGCTAATACGCAGTGTGAAGGTCATCTTGTTAATCAAAGAAGATAAGGTTTTTAATAAAAGATGCATCTGGATCTACCGGTTCCTGTAAGTGGGGAAATATTCTAAGTATCAGCGGAAATCACGGCTCCCCATCCCTCCCGAGGAACCTCAGAACTCTTAGAAGCTTTGTGCTAAACTGAGTGCATCACAGGCCTCGCCTGGGCATAAACGCTGCAGGAACATAACTTGAGGGCATAATACAAAATTCAGAATAAAACATGATTTAGAGACATCCTTTGCACATTTATCATAAGGGAAATGGAAACCAACTAAATGTTTAATAAGCTGTAAATCATTAAAGAATGATGTGTCTGACTCACACAGCCACCCCAGGGTTTCAACACAGCTTCACTAGCTTCCTGTGTGTGCTAACTCTGCCACACGGAGGATAGTCAACAGATGCAGTCTGTCCGCAGGGTTAAACTGTGTGGGGAAGCTCCAGGAAAGAAACACACACACACAACACATGCTTACACGTGCACATGCACACATATGCACACATGCATGCACACACACACACACATCACATTCCTTTCTAACCGGGGAGGTACTGTCTAACACACACACACACACACGCACACACATGCACACACACACACACACACACACATCACATTCCTTTTCTAACCGGGGAGGTACCATCTAACGCGCTGACCCTCCCCAGGCTGCGTGGGATAGGGAGTCGGTGAAGACACAGAAGCCAGGCTGTCCGGGTTGGAGTGAGTCACCCTTTCTGTGTAGCCAGCTTCCGGCCCCCGCTTGTGCCTCAGTTTGCCTCTCTGTAACGGGGGAGAATGAAGGCATCGATGTCTAGGGCTGGTGTGAGGTGAAGTGACACGGGGAACCCTCAGAACTAGGCAGGCAAACAGCATGTGACCAAAACAGCTGCTCTTGGTCCCAACCACTCGGCATGCAGAGATCACACGTCGACAGCATATTGAATAAGTCACTGATACGCAGTTTTCATCTCAGGGCGTAAAGGGTTCGCTGCTCCAGTAAGACTCGCCTGCCGGGTCTGAGCAGTGTTTGCACCAGGAGCGGGTGCTGCTCCGAGGGCGGAGAGGGTGGCAAAGCGCTGGGGTGGGGCCAGGCTGCCACTCCTCCGGGGGCTGGGCTCAGAGGGGCCCGAGACATGCCCCCCCCCCCGCCATCTCCATGGCTGCTCCTCCGGTGGACTCTCCACCACAGGTGTGCCGACACTATGGGGCGTCTACTCTCCCCGCTTACTGGAGTCTCTGCGAGAAGCACTGATCTCCTAGGTCCCCACCCTAAGCCCCCCCACCCCCAGGGCCCCCCACCCCCCAGGACCCCCACCCAAAGCCCCCCCACCCCCAGGGACCCCCACCCCCAGGACCCTCACCCCCAAAGTCCCCCCACCCCCTCAAAGTTTGCTCATTTCAGGGGTCAGACCACGCTCCCTCCTGAGCTCCTGAATCCCTCCATCAGGTCCCCCTCCCCCCTCGACACTTGAGGGCGTCCCACATCACAGCCATGTCCGCGGTATTCCCTGCCCTTTCCCCGTGGAAATGTTTCTCTCATCGTTGTTTCTAACTCTCTCTCCCTCTCCCTTCCTCTGAAAAAAAACAATAAAAAATACATTTTTTAAAAAAAATAAAGCACTGCCCAATGAGGACTCTCTCTCATCACTGATGTTTCTCTCTCTCTCTCCCTCTTTCTTCCTCTCTGAAATCAGTAACAACATATATTATATAACCACCAGACATGGATGGGAGCAGTCCCCAGGTCTCCGGTCCGGACAGCAGGGCTGTGCTGGCTGTGGGGGAGCAGAGCCCGCAGGGGGGTGAAGCTCTGCTCGGACCCCCCCTCTGTGCACGTGGGCTGTGTGCCTCTCTGGGGTGACCTTGCCGGCATCTGCATGGGTGTGAGTCCTTCTCAATGTGTCATCGGTGAGCTCCTCCCATGGAGAGGGCTGTCTGCCCACCGTGCTGATGTCTCCTTCCCGTGCAAACATCTCAGTTTGTTCTGAGTTTGATGGAGTCCCGTGTGTTTGTTTTATTTGTTTCCCCTGCCCGAGGAGACAGAGGAGAGGAAACACCGCGACGAGAAACGTCCGAGGTTTCACCGCTGACGCTTCCTTCCGGGAGCTCCCGGGTTCCAGTCTCACAGGCTCGCCGGCGCCGTGCCCAGCGCTCTGTGTGTTGTACAGAGGTGGGGGGCAGGGACCACCCCGTGGGGTGTGAGAGTGTCTAACCGCCGCGCTGTACCCCTGGAACTTGCACAGAATGGCCCAGTGCGTGTCAGCCCTAATGGAAAAGTTAAGTACTAAAGCGTCAGACATGGATCTGAGTCTTACTTCATGGACCTCGGGGACCTTTCAATGCTAACACAGTGTTTATTATGTCCGAGGCCCCGTGAGAACCGGGGATGTGATGTGAGGAAGCCGGGAGCACGCTCCCAGGCCTTGGCTGACCAATGCTGGCGACGCTGCTGTGTTATAAACCCTCCGGTGAGCTGTGCTGAGTGAAGTCCCGGCCACGGTTCACAGCCGCTCTCCCCCAGGCTTTGGGCCAGTGACACGAACGTTACCCACGGGCACCGCGTCTCGGGCTCTGGACAGGGCCTCCCCTCAGGCCAGCCCTGGATGGCCCTCATGACGGGGCTTCCCTCCGAGTGCGGAAAGGGCCCTGACATTTACCTCTCGGGCTCTCTGTCGTTTCTAATGAGAAAAATATGAAGAAGGGTATCCTGCCCGGTGGCTGAGTGTTAACCTAGGAACCAGGAGGGCACAGTTAGGTCCCTGGTCAGGGCCCAGGCCCAGGTGGTGGGCTCCATCCCCAGGGCAGAGCGTGTAGGAGGCAGCCGACCCGTGATTCTCTCTCATCATTGATGCTTCTCTCTCTCTCTCCCTCTTCCTTCCTCTGTGAAATCAATAAAGATATCTCTTTTTAAAAAGGAATGACCACTCCACAGGGACATAAAGCTGTGCATTAAAGCTTAGAAAATGCAGCCTCAAGAGATGGGAACAGGGGTAGCGGCTGAGAGGGCCTGAGGAGGAGAAGGAAGGCACATCTGGGATGTAGGGAACATCGCTGAATGTGTTAACTGACTTGACCCCCATTTCCCAGGTGACAGAACACGGCTTTGGGACCAGAATGGACGGCCTGGGGAAGGCCAGCAGGCGGGCCCTCCGTCCTCCACGGGCACGGACCCGGCCAGCCCCCCTCCCGGCGCAGCACCCACCTCTGCAGAGCGGGGCTGGGAAGTCCCAGGCGGCGCCGCTCCCCGGGCTGACGATGCAGGTGAGCGTGGCGTGGCCCTCCAGCACGTAGCCGGCCAGGCAGCTGTAGCGGATCTTGTCGCCGATGTTGAACCTGGATCCGTGCAGCACCCCCTTCAGGATGTCCCCGGGGTTCCCGCACGTGTGGCTGGGCAGCACTGGGGAGAGAGCGGAGAGGACAGGTGAGCGCGGCCTGGACTCAGGGCGGTCCACAGCTCAGAGCGTGCCCCTCCCGGAGGTGTGACCACCACGAGCCCACCCCGTCTCCCTCGGCCCGGGCGCCGACAGAGAAACGCGCCCGTGTGTCCTACTCGCCATCCAGTGCTTCTGGAAAGATCGTGTTAGTGAAAACGACTGCGCTTTGTTCAGAGGGAAGACAGGGTCCGTTCTAGACGGTGTCCAGACCCCTTTTCTGATGGCAAGTTACTACCCTCTCCGACAGGCAGCCATCGGAGAGCACCCAGGACTGGGTTTCTGACCAAGCAATTAGCATACATGAATATTCATGCCAATGTGCTCGTGACCAGCACTGCCCGGAACACACACTCATCAACGCCCAATCAATGTCTGATGGACAAGCAACTTCAAAAACCGAAGTCCACCCGTTAATCTATGGGATGTGAATAAGACTGTTCCATGATTTTATCAGAGCCAGCTGTGAGGGTCCACGGACACGCGTGGGCACCGTGTCTGACTCACTGCACAGGGGCAGCTACAGCTTTCACATGCAGGTGCTGCATTTGCCATCCGGAGCCTGGCGCTGTGCCTTCCTGGCCGGCCCCCTCTGTGCGTACACCATTCTCTGCCTCACGCTGCAGCCCTGAACCTCCTGGGGAGGAGCCATCGCACCCAGAGGTCATTCCCATCCTGATCTGTGCACCGTGCGCTGGCCGCCGTACAGTCAGCCTGTCCTCTGACCATCCCCTGTCCTCCCGCGGCACTCAATAAGCCCAAAACCCTACTATTTACAAAGGAACAGCTCCCAATAAAAGTGTCTAAGTGAGAGGCATTACACTGTTTTATCTTCTTTTAAAGTATCATTGGTTGGTGTTAGGGAGAGGGGGAGAGAGAGGAACACTGAGCGCTGTTCCCTCACTCATGCCTTTGCTGGCTGCGCCTGGCACGTGCCCTGACCGGAGCATGAACCGCAAGTCTGGCTTGTGGAGACGACACTCTAACCAACTGAGCTGCCAGCCAGGGCTGTTATTTCATATCCACACCCAAACGTGCTGCATGGGCACAGAGTACAGGTTGATATCCTAACGTGTAAAAAGCCAGGGGCCGTCACAACCAAAGCAGCCAGAGGGACAAGTGAACAGCAGGCTGCGTTGGGCGACCAGGCTAGCAGGGGGGTTAGTGAGGGATGACCAAACCACTGAACAGCAGGCTGCATGGGGTGACAGGCCGGTAGGGGGGCAGTAAGGGGTGACCAGGTGAGCAGAGGGAGGAAAGGCGCAGTTAGGGACAACCAGGCTGGCAGAGATGGGCAGTTGGGGGTGACTAGGCTGGCAGCGGGGAGTGGTGGTGGGGTAGTTAGGGGTGACCAGGCTAGCGGGGAGGGGGGACATTTGGAGGAGACAAAGCCATCAGGGGGACAGTTAGGGGTGATCAGGTCAGAAGGCAGAGGTGGTTAGGGGTAACCAGGCTGGCAGGATGGGCAGTTAGGGGCACTCAGGCAGGCAGGCAGGTGAGCAGTTAGGAGCCAGAAGTCCCAGATTGTGATCTCCTGAGGGGATCCAGATTGGAGATCCTGGGCTGAGTGGACCCCCCCACACACACACACACACACCTGTGCACAAATTTCATGCACCAGACCTTTAGTATTATCTCTATGTATAATGGAGTGAAACTTTTTGTTTTGTTCTTTTACACTTTAAAAATAGATCTTGTTCCCCGAATGAAAGGGAATGTAGTATTTCTAAAATTACCTTATTATAACATTAAACGTGAACAACGTAAGCTATGTAGAAACACTAAGAAAAAAAATACTACCTTTTAGATACTTAATATAATTGATATGTTTATAAAATCACTATTTACATAGCAAAGTGTATTCAATTATAGTTAAAAAACAACAATAGTTTCTGAAAACAGTAAAAACAACAACAACAACAGTTTGATACACAATAGAAACTAGTGAATTTGGGTCTAGAAAAGAGATTTTTCAGCCAGTGTGTGAAAAGATGTTTTAAAACACACAGCACGTGACTCTCTAGTCAGGGGCACTGGCCTCCTTTCCCTCCGACGGTCAAATAAAAGACGGAAACAGCCCACACAATAGCCGTCTGGTGTGAGCGAATCAAAATGAAACCGCTTTGTTTTTGTCAGATCGGCAAAAAATACACTGCGTTTTCCAGTGTGCCCCAGAAACCGGGCCTCAGTCTGGGTGCGAGAGATGACAAGGGCTGGCCGTCCCTACTCTGCAATCCTCTTTGCTTCTGACAAAAAGGACATCCTTTGTTCACGGTCACGGCCCTATTTCCGAGTCCATGAGTCTTTAGGCTGCTGACAGCACCTGGAAGTGTTTCGGCCTCTCACTGCCGGGGTCTCTGAGGAGGAGGGTCTCTGAGGAGGAGGGTCTCTGAGGAGGAGGAGGGTTTCTGAGGAGGAGGGTCTCTGAGGAGGAGGGTCTCTGAGGAGGAGGGTCTCTCAGGAGGAGGAGGGTCTCTCAGGAGGAGGGTCTCTCAGGAGGAGGAGGGTCTCTGAGGAGGAGGGTCTCTGAGGAGGAGGGTCTCTGAGGAGGAGGGTCTCTCAGGAGGAGGGTCTCTGAGGAGGAGAGTATCTCAGGAGGAGGGTCTCTCAGGAGGAGGAGGGTCTCTGAGGAGGAGGGTCTCTGAGGAGGGTCTCTCAGGAGGAGGACGGTCTCTCAGGAGGAGGGGTCTCTGAAGTGGAGGTGTCTCTGAGGAGAAGGATCTCTGAGGATGAGGATCTCTCAGGGAGGAGGGGTCTCTCTGGACCCTGTATGGCACCCTCACCCATGTTCCCCATGCTGGCGCCTTCAGTATAAACCTGGACTCACAAACCGCTAGGACACCCTCCTGGACCCAGCCTCACCTCGGAGCAGGGACTTGCCAACTACAATCGCACAAATGGTCATCCTATATCATAAAAGGCTAATATGCACTCAGACCAAACAGGGAGCAATGGAACTGGTCGCTATGACACGCGATGACCACCAGGGGGCGCGTGTGGAACATGGCAGTGTGGGCAGCAGGTGGCAGAGAGCAGAATGTGGCCAGCTTCGGCCGTGCTGGGATGGCGGAGCCGGTGAGTGGGGCCGCCAGACCAAGGCGGGGTACCGGTCACTGTCATCGGGGTGAGCCTCTGGTGGTTATGAAAATTCTTTGCTCCCACAAGCTGTGGGCACCAGCAACAGGTGTGAGCAGGGCCGGTGCCAGGAGCAGGGCTGCTGGCAGACAGGTGATGGGGTCAAGGGAGAGGGGGAGGGAGGGGGCACAGCAGGAGGAGCTGGGGGGGTGGAGGATGGGGTGAGACCTGCTCCTGTGCCCACAGCTGCCTTGCAGCCCACAGTTCCTTTCAAGGTGCACTGGGCCCCTGGTTAGGACTATAAGCCAGTGAGTTCCTGTGGCCCCGATGTGCTCAACAGCTGAGGTTTCTTAACAGGACAACGTGAGCCTCTTCCAGATTCAGGTTGTAGGAAACGAGACCTCGCGACCCCAGGTCATTGGTTTGTCTGAAAAGGGGCGCTGTTTGCCTGCGGTTCTCCGCCGTGACCTTTGAAATGGCTGCCCAGCTCTTCCAGGCAGAGGTTCTCAGCTCTCTTTCCCCGGCCAGGCTGGAGGGTCGCAGGCTTATATGTAGACCAGAGGCCCGGTGCACAAAACCCTGTACGGGTAGGGTCCCTGGGCCTGGCCAGCGACCAGGGCCCATCAGGTTCCGGGCGTCCCACCTCCCCACCTCCCCGCCTCCTTCCCTCACATCCTCAGCTCCTGGCCACTGCTGCTGGCCGCCCACCACGTTCCGCACTGCCCCCTGGTGGTCAGCGCACTCCATGTGTCATAGCAAGTGGTCAGACTGAACTCCCTTCTGACCAGCCCCCCCGGGGGGACACTTAGCACATTAGCCTTTGATGGACATAGATTTCTGGTGTGACAATGTGCCTCCTCCTTTCCTACTGGGCGGACTCCACAGGAGGAGACACACTCCTTTTGACTCCTTAGGGTCATCCCAGGGCAGCTGTTGCGAGAACAATGCCGCCACGGTGAGTTGAAAGGGGTTTCGGAACGAGCAGGCCCACAATGCATCTGAAAACCCCAAGCAGGGAAGAGGGGAGAGGACACGGGCCAGGACAGCATGTGGCTACGCTGAAAATCCTCCCCGTGGCCCATTAAGTAAATGTGCACGACGCTTAATTCTGCTATTTATAGGGTAAGGATTTAGACTAATCCAATAATCCGACAAAAAGACAGAGTCATGATATCACCACAAGATGAAGATTACGTTAGATGTGAATCTGTGAGGAAAGAGAATGTGTATCTGCGTCCAGACACGGCGGCTCTTAACGGCTAACGTTCTGAAACCACCTCTGTGATTTTCTAAAACAAACTTAAGATAAAGTCTTCATTAGTTCCAATACTCAGATACGTTTCATGGCTACTAACCTTTACGGATGCAAATGAGTTCAGCAAAAAATCTGTCACAGGTCAAATAAAGTGGCTCTGGAGTTACACGGGAGTTGATAACTCAAAAGGTCATGTGTCGCCTTGGAGAATAGCGGGAATTGGTAAAATGTGACGGCGACTCATTCAGTCCCAGTCCGGAGTGGAGTGAATCTACCCTCACAGCCGGCCTCACACGGAGCCAGGGACATCAGCTCGGTGTGGGAGGCGTGCCAACGCCCTCGGCCTGTTCGATGGGTGTGCAATGGTCAGTGCAAAGTGGCCTCGCTCATCCTGCCCTCCACCCAGGCCGCGCCCACCCTGCTCTCCACTCAGACCACGCCCACCCTGCAATCCACTAGGCCATGCCCACTCTGCTATCCACCCAGATCACGCTCACCCAGTGCTACACCCAGGCCACGCCCACCCTGCAATCCACCCAGGCCACATGGGAGAATGCAGCAGGCAGAGGCACCTGCTTTGCTAACTCCTCACACAAGCTCTCGTCCTGCTGAGGAGGATGGAAGACCCAGGAGACA